ATGTGCTACACACCTCTTTTCCTGCAGAGGAGTGGGCAAGCACCTAAAGGAAGCAAGTTTTGATGGTGCCAGGGAGAACCACTATGGGCAGCAGATGAAACAGTGCCCCAGAGAAGATGGATAATGGCACAGTGCAGGATCATGGGTTGCTTCTGTGTAATATAGAAGGCAGACCAGCTGTTTGGCTTATGTACGCACAGGGAAATTGTGGCAGAAGTAGGAGGTGCCAAAGCAGTCATTCATGTATTTGCTGAAATTTCAAAATACTATGGCAAGTTTGCAATAAAATAATAAAGCTTCCTCTAATTCCATGTCATATAAGAATTGCTGCTGTCCCTCACTACCAGGAGGAAGAGCCTGTCATTTCTAGGCTACACATGCACATAGCCCCAAATCACTCTCTTTTTATTTCATATTAGGTTTAGTTCAAACTTGTCTTCTGTCAAGAGGTCTAAAGAAAAATGAGCCCCTGCACAGGCAGTCATTCACCTCCAGGTCCAATTCTTCATGGGTCAGGCAATCCAGCAGCTCCACATGGGACCTTAATGAAACATTCCAAGAAAGCTCCAGGGACTGATAGTCATTAAAAGCTGTTAACAGCACCATAATTAAAAACAAATTAACAGGAAATCTGAAATTGCCTTAAGAATTGTTTCTGTCTTGCGTTGCATCTCATAAATCTCAAATTACTAATAAAATTTGACTTAGTATTTCACATTAGCTGCAAGATCAACAAGCCACAACAACATAGTTAAAAACCTACAAAATTTGCTTTCTTAGCACTAAGACCAGAGGATTTCCCTGACAATCTGAATGGCACTGGTGCTTTTAAAATCCTCTATTTACTATATTTTAGGGGAAAGAAATAGCAAAAGAGAAGATGGTTCAGTAGCTGCAGCTGTAGTTGCAATTAATATTTCTCCAGCACTGCTTCTTTTCTGCTGAACTTGAATTGAGTTAACCCTTTTTAGACAAATCATCCTTCCTGTCACAGGAAGTATTAGGTAGTTTCTGTATCCTTATTTAAACAGGTGTTTATTAAGACTGAGATAATGAATGAAATGAAAATTTCTTCCAAAAGAGTGTGGGTTGAATTTCCCAGCATTTTAGAAATTGTTATGCTTAAAGTTTTAAAGGATTTCTTCTTATATTAATACATTTGTAAAAATACTGAGACAGAGGAACTATATAAGGTTTTGACTCCACAGAGAACATAAAACTTGTTTCAAAATAAATCATGAACCTATACATACATCATAATGAAACTATAGGTATCTATTGTAAACTCAACAATTTAAAAGACAATGGCAGGATCTATTTTGGAGCAAAACAAAACTTAAACTCAGTGTGTCAAAATAGCTATGGTTTCATTAAATGCCTGATACTATCAGATATTTCATTAAAAGCTCAAATCCTAAGGAAAAATAATTATGTGATGATCTCAACTTTTACTTAAAACCAATGCAATTGATTTTCTGGCAAGTCCTGCCTGGATGCAGAAAAAAAAGCTAGAAAATGTATCCCAAATGTGTTCTACAGACTCAATACCTGAAGACAAATAAAAGATCCCATAGATAATAGATTTTTAAGTTCCAGGTCTTTTGTGAGCTCATCTTCAGATTTTTTTACAGCTGACAATCCTGATTCCTTAGGAAAAAAAGAATCTAATAATTTGCATTGTCAAAGAATGTCAGAAAATATAGCTTGTCATTTTTGTCAGCTTACCAGTTTTTTATCATTGCTTATAATGCAGTTTATTATATTATATTAGTTAGACTACAAAATTCTCCAACAGGCTTTCAATAATTTTTTTTTTCCCTTGAACACATTTTTGTTTAATCTACAAAGTGATTATCAAGTACACTCTGTCATGTAAAGCCCACCAATTCAGGCTTCCAAACCTGAATGCATGAAATTAATTTCTGCTTTCTGCCAGGCTGTGTGATCACAGGTCAGTGCTGCCTAAGAGCATTCCAAAAGAATGGATCCATCCTCACAGCATAGCATGGCAAGGGCCAGGGCACGGCAGCAGGCAGCACAGAAAAAAAGAGATCTGAAAAGTGTTTTAACAAAGCCAGTCCAGGACACTAAGAGACAAGGGACTATTTTTGTACAGAATTTTAGTTCCTGAAATGTCCAGATGAGGCCACTGTGGTTTTATTATCTCGATTTAAAGAAAAATTTAATTTGGTTACCTCAGAGTTTCCGGTCTTCACAATGGCAAGCATACTCAATAGCCTGTTTTTCTGTTGGAGAACAAAGACTAGGAAATGGTTTGTCTTTTATTTTTTTGTTTTGTTTTGTTTTGGTTTTGTTTTGTTTGACGTATTTGGTGGTTTTTGGTTGTTGTTGTTGTTGTTGTTGTTGTTGGGGTTTTTTGGGGTTTTTTTTTTTTTTTTTGTTTCACACAGTTGTTATGATACTCACAGAGGCAGGAAGGGAACTGAACAATGAGAGCTGCAGATGTGGAATTTCTTTTTTAAATCCCCTTTACTTCTGCTTGATGTCTGGCAAGCAGTGGAGATACAGCAGGAGATGCTGTGAGGCTGAAGCAGAACAAGCATTTTTCTTTGATAGAGATCCCCCAGTGAAGCTTTCCAAAACCAGCCCAGCCCAGGCACTGCTGGGCTGTATCACAGGCCTGGTTTCAAACGGACAGAGTGATGCAAAGCCAGGGAAGGATACAGACAGAGCATTTTGGCTGAGTCACACAGTTAGGAAATGAGGAATTCTGTGGTGAAAAGCCACAGCTGGCGCTGCCAAGTCTCCAGGCAGTAAACTCCAGTGTGTTTTGGAGATGGGGACAATGTTCTCATCCAAAAATATCTGCCCAGCCATGGGGGGAGGCAATGACTACAGGGAGACTGTGCTTCCTTTTGTTTTGTTTTCACTTGTCACTAAAAGTGACCATCAGAAGAAAGAGTTCTGAAGTGACCATGGGGCCATGGTCACAGGTGAGAGCCCAGCCACAGGGAGCAAAGCCAGTCTCTGGTAGATTCCCTAAAGCAGATTCCTCGTTTCAGAACTGAGACTAAAATAAGGGAAATGACTAATTTTACCAATGCTCTCTAAAAAGCCTTTTTCTTCCCTTTGCCTTTGCCACTGCAGAAGCAAAATGCCACGTTCAAATCCATGGATGCGCCCTGATAATAAGTGCATTTTGAACAGCAGCTGGGCAGACAATACAAAGGCAGAGCTCATGAGGGGCTCATGCTTTCACTTCTCCACCTGTTTGGGATGAAGTGCCACATTTTAAGTCCCCATCACGCAAGGCCCAGTCTTGCCCATGCCACTGGGCTTCCTCTTCCCCCGAGCATCTCCTCTGCCTGCAGCATCAGGGTTATCTCTGGCACTCTGGGCAGCGTGTGGGGATGATGGTTAACAAGAGCACTGAGTCAGTACAGCTGCGATGGCAATTAGTATAACATTTGTATGTAAACTGACAAATACTGGCAAAAAGCACTTGTGAGGGAGGGATCAGTGATTCACAGGCTGCCAGCTCACTCTAACCAGATACAACTGGCCTCAGCCTTTTTCAGGCTCACCCAGGCACTCCAGAGTGCAATATTTCAGCCTCAGCACCAGCTGGTTTTATGCCACTCAGCCCTGTTCAAACACAGGTTTTAATTGCATGTCTCATTCAGCTAATGTGCCTCGCACTGCCTGCTGCGGTCCTGACTGGTGCAGGACCCCACTCATCAGACACAACTGCAGGAATGTCCCCTCTCTTCCCTCTCTTCCCAAGCAGATGCAACTCTGTGAGGGACCCAAAGCTCAAAGGAGACTGCGTGGTTCTTGGCAATAAGAAGGGGCTGTGGGGATTGACTCCAAAGGGGTTGCTAGAGTGCTTCAACTTCCAGCTGCAGTTTTCTGCATAATCCGTTAGCATCGGCACTAACACAAGGTTTTAAGGTGAGGATCTCTGAAATGAGATAGTAAGGGAGGATACTTTTATCACCAAATCTCTCAGAAGGCAGCAACACATCTTCATCATCATGGATTCAACGGAGAGGAAAAACCCTGAAAGCCTTGCACTATTTGTTGCAATTTTCACTTAGGTTGGATGGTACCTGAAGTTTTTGCAAATCCTTTTTATGGTCCCTTTGAGTTTAAATTTAGTGCATATGTATTCCTGTAGCAATACAATTTCCTTTCACCAGCAGAGCTCACTTCAGCTGTTGTTGGGTATTATTATACCTCACTGCTCCTTTCCTCTTCCACCAGTCCCTCTATATTGGATCTAAATGTCACTTATAGTTCAAGCTATTTGACTGCCAGTCCCCCTGTACCCCAGAATAGCCCAGGAAGACCTGAAAGCTCACATGGAAAGGGACATAAAGAAGCTCCATTTTCTAGAGTAGAAAAGAATCAGACTCCAAAAATCTGGCTGATAGATGTGAAAGTAGAACAGGACATTTAGGACAGAGTAATTTGGTTAGAACTGTGTGGTATGACTGCTCACACTTGGTACTGTGGGTAGCAAGAAATTATCCAAGTGGGCACAGATACTACTGGGCAAAATGTCACTGCTGCAGTGAATTTGGCACCCTTTCTGGAAAGAAAGAGGCCAACCCTCACCACAAAGGACATATAAAAGCTAGAACCAAGGACCAACATAAAAAGTTTTTATCAGTGCTTTTGCAGCATGCAAAATTTTCTGGTAGACTGGTAACTACTTCAGAGAAATCAGGAGCCAAAATAAAAGTGGTTAGGAAAATATCCGTTAAATCTGAGCTGAAATGATGGCTTCTTTGCTTGTTTCCTTCTTTAGCTTGCTTGTTTGTTTTTTTTTGAAATCACTCTTGCTAATTGTCCTGCAGTCATGGTATGTACCAGATAGCCAAGAAAGCTGACATGGTGAAGTTATATACAGCAGCATCCTTGTGACCTTTTACACGTCTGTCCAATAAAGCCCAGGCCAAATGACAGCGACAGCTGTCTTGTGGCATTCAGTTTGAATTGAACAGGTTTGCTCACAAGTCAGGAGCAAGTGTTTCATTACAGACTGTGCACCAAGATCAGCATAAGCCCCCAAAAGTGAAACTTTCCCTCAGCAGCTATGGAAACTGTTCCGGTGGACTGAGATGCACTTCACAGGCTCCTCCCTGTCTCCTTGCTTTGACTTTCCCACCTCCTGCAGGCTGTCATTCTCTGTTGGTATTTGCATATTGCAAGGGAATAAAACCTCAGTTCTCTCAGGAGTGAACCAGAGTGTTATGGGAACTGAGCACTCGAAGAGCAAGGAGCGAAGGAGCATGGTTTTCCTTAGGAAAGGCCCAAAGCTGCCTGCATGGGAAGATGCCCTTCTGGCAGGGAGAGAGCCCAAGTCACTGCTGAAACGGGGATTGCGTTATGTCAGCTTGAGCCTCATAATGAAAGGGATGACCAGCACACCTGACTTCTTGTGGGGACTGCATGAGGTGCAGAAGCTGAACCTTTCACGCAACCAGCTGGTGGTGATTCCTCCTTCGCTGGGCAAGCTGGACAGGCTGGTAGTCCTGAACTTGGGTGGCAACTGCCTCAAGTGCCTACCTAAGGAGATTGGGCTGCTGAGGAACCTGAAGGTCTTGTTCGTCAATATGAATTGCCTGAAAGAAGTGCCAGCAGAGCTCAGCTTGTGCAGGAAGCTGGAGGTTCTGAGCCTCTCACACAACTGCATCTCACAACTGCCTTTGAGCTTCACTGACCTGACGAGTTTGAGGAAACTGAACCTCAGTAACAATCGCTTTGTGCAAATTCCCCTCTGCATTTTCGCCCTGAGAAGCTTAGACTTCTTGCACCTAGGGTCCAACAAGCTAGAAAACATCGCAGAGAGTATCCAGTATCTGGTCAATCTGCAAATCTTTATCGTGGAAAATAACAACATACGCAGTCTGCCGCGGTCGCTGTGCCACATCAGCACTCTGGAGCTACTGAACGCCGATTACAACGCCATACAGACCCTGCCAGATGAACTGTACCTGCTGCGCCGCCTGCGCCGCATTGCCTGGAACCCCATGGACAAAGGCCTCCACATCGCCCACAACCCCTTGGCCCGGCCCCTGCCCGAGGTCGTTGAGGGGGGGCTGGATGTCCTCTTCAACTACCTCAGGGACAAAAAGGAGCACAACTGAGCTTCCGCTGAGCTTGTCATTAAGCTGTCATCGGGACTCAATTGCGTCGGAGAGCTTTCCTGCACAGGCATCTCCACTTCATAATGCTCGGATTTTGAAGGCTATGGGTGGCTTTAGTAACAGTGGGAGGAAAGCAAGTAAAGTATGATGGTCTTGATTAAGTGTGGGAAGAGCAGACTTTCTAAAAATAGCCACCTCTGTAACCTTCACCGTTGTGGTACTTGGGGGTTTTTATAGAAAAAAAAATACAACTCAGTTGTGATAAAATATTTGCTCTTCATTTGACAGAAACAAATTAAAGCAGACTGCCAGACATGCAGAAATGTATATTTGACAGCTATTAGGCTGAAGAAATATTAATATAAGTTAGACTTTCTCTCTGCGATTGCAGTTGCATTTCTACTCCTGCTCACTTCTTCATACACAGGTAAACCATGACATAAACAAACACTGCTGTCCAAGTGAATATCAAGGAAAATGTTTGCTTTTGGCAGTGAATATATCCTGAGCTATATTAGCTCACAGACAATATATTACTGGTCAGTTCAATACCACTTCTTGTTTACCCCACAGCTGTGCTCTGGCCTGTATAAATTACAGGTAGAGATTGCCAGCGACGAGGCAATTTGCCAGTTCTTTGGAAGTAGATCCCAAACATCCCCAGAGCTCCTCCTTCCCCTGGTGAGACAAGCAGCCGTTCACATGGAGCCTCCTAGGATGCTGACAGCAGTGCTTCACATCAGCTGGGAGCAGCATCTGCACAAAGAAGAGAAAGGACTGTGGCTTCTTCCCTCACAAAAAGGATGGAGTTGCTCATTGCTCGATGTACAACTGCTCTCCTTTTCCATATCCCTGCAACCTAAGCTATGAAGTAACTTTACTCAGGAGGCAGCACATCTCCTAAAGGTGAAATATTTCTTTCAGGAAAAGCAGCATCAACTCAGTCATCACCTTAAGTAAGAGCTTAAAAAACAAATAGAAATAGTTATTTCTGGGATTTTCAGTGTCAGCCAGTAGTATAAAAGTCAGGTCTTATGTGGTTTCTCATATTGATCTTCTGTGAATGTCCTTCATCAAAGTTTTATCTGGTAATAGAGGCAGTATGAAAGAGCTGTGAACAATCTATGCAACATGGGGTTTTTTGTTCCCTCACACCAGTGTAAAACAGAAGCAGCTCTCTTGAAATCAGTTGAGATAAGTGCTTGTAATGGCAGTGTAAGAGTGGAATGAAATTGTAACTCTTGAGCTAATTATGAGTATTCAAAGCCATTTTCAAAGTGCTTCCTATGTCAAATCTCAGGAATTTATTATTTTCTAAAATTTTATTTTTTCAGAATTATGAAAGGCTATGAAAGGCTGATCCTGCTTCTAGTGAAGTTGATGGACAATGCCTGGCTGAGGGAAAAACTCCTTAGCAGAGGTAGAAGCAGCCTGATAACAGCAGACAATTTTGTAATTAATAGGTACATGTGAGTAAACGCAGCACCTTTGGTCACATTGACACTGTTGGTGTGATGCCAGCAATGAGGAATCAGTGCTCACAGACCCACACTGGGTCTGCCTGCCCTGATATTTTATTGTGTTGGATTGTTTTGCTATGATTTGTTATCTTATTTGAGAATTTAAGTGTTAGGCCCAGAAATCAAAGTCTCCATGTGTGCAGTCAAGGACAAATCTTACGTCTCTAGCAAACATGAAACAATTTTGAAGGATATTTTTGCTCAAGCATTAAGAAAACAAGGCAATAAAACAAATATTTTGTGAATTTTTATAACTTAGTGCATGTTTTAAATGCAAAGGTATTTTATGTGTAGCTTTACATGTATTTATTTCACCCGTTGAAAATTCCAAGTTTTTAATGAACAATGCATGTAATAAATTAATATGTGATTCCATTAGCAACAAGCAATAAAGCTGCAATTATTTTTAGAAATACCAACAGATAATTCTTGGAGGGGATTAGGGGCAGATTATTAACTTTTCTAAATGCCCATTTCATATCCCTAAGTCTGGCATGCATGTAAACACTGCAATATTGCTTTGCTGGAAAATTAGATGCCTATGGCATTAATCACCTGAAAAGATTTTCCACATGTCAGTACCCAGGATTATATGACACCGGATAGCCCCTGATATGATCTGACTAGAAGAGCTATGCACAGTAATTTACATGGAAGATATGAGGCTGCAGTCTGTCTGTTCATTAGGATACCACTACAAGGGTGAGAAACACTGAACGATTCAAGAAAATGATCTCCAGACAGAGGATTAAAAGGCAAATTTGGACTTAATCAAATGCATCTGCAAAAGCAGTTATAATATGAAGTGCAATACCAATAATTTAAAATTAAATTATTCAATTGAATAATAATGACCTTTTACTCAGGCTAATAAACCTCTGCAAGCATATGAAACACATAAAAGTGACTGCCTTTTTAAACAGAATAATAAAATTGATTGAATAAATGGTGTTTTAATGTATAATTCAGATTTTACCATTAAGAAAATAATTTCTACTGATCTGCTTTTGGTTTTTTTTCATTCCTCAGTCAAAGGCCCTGAAAATACCTTTCTCAGAGACACGGAAAATTATCTCTCATAAATGAGGGTAGTATTCTGAATTCTTCCTGTAAAAAAAAAGACTGTATACCACTGTTATTGTATAGAAATATGCATGAAAGGCAAATAATGGCATATGTATTTGCATCTGAGTGGGAGCATGATAGAAGCAGCAAGCAAAGGCACAGGAGGAAAATAGAACGTGTAATGTCACGTGCCGGCTCTAGTTTTGAGCAGGGCATTAGAAAAGAATTGGTGGATCTCAGCATTGTCATCTGATATTAGCTGTGCAGATGACAGGGAAAAAAGGAACTGAAAGGCTGCAGGGCCTCTAGTCATATCTCATAATATATGACAACAGTACTACTTCTGTGTGTATCAAGTGATATAAGTGATATAATTATATAATTATATAAATTATATAATTTTATAACCTTTCAGAGAACTGTATGCAGAATATTATTCTTGTCCTGGTAAGCACTGAAGTTTTCTCATCCTAAGACTCACAGCAGCATAACTTTTGATGCATCTATTATTTTTGGTGGCAGTAGTGTTCTAAAAGACTAGAAAATGTGGGATCCACTCGTGGAAAGGATCCTTTTCTTGCACAGTGGCTTTTCTATGGCTGTCACTCAGAGAAACTCTCAAGGTGCTTAGAAAAACTCTTGAGGTGGACAAAAGAAAGGGCAAAAAAAGAACAAAGTAGAAAGAATATAGTCGGGGGTCAAGTTGGTTAGGATAAATGTAATATACAATAAGGCTATATAATTTGCTTTTCAGCTGTCATCAACCACACTGGTTGTACATTTGGTCAGATCTGGTGAAAAGGCTCCACCTCTTACTTTAAATTGAAAAGAAAGCTGCATTCTGTGTAAAATTTAAAGGCTAGTCAATAAGCAAAGCCTTTGAAAACTGGAAGGCTTCAGGCTTTTGGCCCAACCAAAGTTAGTGATTCAGCCATTGACTGAAAGGAAAAAAAATCTTCTTAAGTATTGCACTAATACCTGACTGAAATGCCTTGTCCCTACTGCTCTGAGGCTACTCAGCTCTGGCACACGGGCCAGATTCCTAATGCCACTGGTAAATTCCCAAATACATTGCCTAGTCCCAGCAGCCACTTGGGGCATGTCACCTGACCAGAAACACCAATCTGTTACATGAGCAAAGCAGCAAGAACCTACAAAGACCAATTTCCAAGATGTGGAAAGTTTCCAGGATGTGGACTGAAGTGGCATTTCAAAACAGTTTTCCAACAGAGTCCAATTGAAACATCTTGAAATTTAGATTTAAAAGTTTGTGATTATTAATCTGGATGGAAAATATGCCAACTTTTTATTTTGGCCAACTTGCCAATATTTTCTCCATACTTTTTTTCTAATTTCCATGAAAATCCTCTTTTTTGTCAACACAAAGCACACTTTCTAGTCATTTTACTATAAGAATATGCATTCTGCTGTTTAAACTTTTTGGAAAATAAATGACAAAATTTCTTATTATGGTACAGGTAGCTTCAGGAAACTAGATGTTTCAGTTAATAATTTTAAATCAGTGAAGGAGGAGAAATCTAAAAAATATGACATTGACTTTGGAGGGATTTGGACTTATTATTTACTTCACTAGGCCAGCACATTACTTGAAAAAACATAACACAGCATATAAGTTCTTCAAGTAGAAAAATCATTGATACTTCAGCTTATTTCCTTAAACAATGAAGAAAAAAGCCTCAAAAGTCTTCATCACATTAGAGATGGAAAGAAAGAAGGAGGGAAGGAGGGAGGAAGGAAGGAGGCAAGGAAGGAGGGAAGGAGGGAAAGGGAAGGAAGAGAAAATTATTTGATTTCACCAAATTTCAAGGGTAAATTTGCTGCACAGTCTTCAGACAGCAGTTCTTGAGTAATTCAAGGAGTGTTTCGAACTGCCTGGCACAGTTCTAATCAGTATGCATGAAAATAATTATGTTAAAATAAAAATATATAATAATTCATAAAATACTAAGAAAACATGTATATTATTGTGTCACATGTTCTTCTGCCATTCTCACATTTGGGAGCTGAAATCTTGAAATAGTTACAGATGAAGGAAAATTCTGTCTCTAGAAGGGCTTGTAATTATATGAGAATATATACTTTTCCCATTTTATATGTGGCAAAACCCATATTTAACAACTCAGTAAATGCTTAAATTGGAATAAGGCTTTAGATATATTGCTACAGAGGTAGGCTTTAATACACACATGTGGAGTAAGTCTGAAAATCCTTTTATAAAATTGCATGATCATTCCTATGTACAAGTAAGAGGCAGAATAATAATTATAAATGATGCTCCCTCACTGATTCCATGCATTTATCTGTGGTGCAACAAGAACTCACCAGCCTCCAAAAACCACCCCTCAGCACTGCCCAGCAGAACAAATACCATCCTGTATCGGTCCAGCCACCTACAGGACAGGATTATTTTGCAGACTTAAATGACAAAGCATGAAATTTATATGCCAGTGTATGTGGAGTCACATCATGCATGGCTAAAAAGATGGTTTCCAGCAAAGCAGGAAGTGTATCAACAGCTTCAGAAAAGGTCACTGCAAATTATGCTGCCTCATAAAGTGAGATTACCCAGGCAGAGTGAAAAGAAGACCAAAGGGCAGAGCTATATGCTTTCCTAGGGCTCAGAGGAGTTTCAGATGCCATAAATTCATTGCTGGATAGTCTGCTTTTAATTTATACTGCTCAGACATTAAAAATCAAAAATTAATCTTTTGATACAACTCTCTGACAGAAATATGTATTGCTTCATTTTCTTTCTGCTCTCCAGCCTTTGCATCGTTGGCATGTTCACAGAAGCAATGAATTGCTTTTCTCCTCCTGCAAATGTAGCATTGCCAGGTGTGGGTGGGCATCAAAATGTACAGAGGGCTTTATCTCTCGCCCTCCATTTAAGGGGTGCAGGACAGCAGTGCCTGACAGGCTCCACAACCACTGGAGACAGGATGAGTAACATACCCAAAACTGGTGTCATGCCCACAACATCAGCTATATGCACTTGCCTTCAAGGTATCAGGCAAGGCAGTGGTTATTCTCCAGACACTGTTCCCATGGTTGACAGAGAGAGATGGATACAGAGAGATGGATACAGAGAGCTCTACGTCATCTGCAGACTAATCTAAGCATGTGAAGTAAGGTCAGTGAAGCTGTAGGGTACCAAATGCCTTCCTTTGCCTGGCCTTCCTTGCCTCTGCAGCATGTGTGCAGAGGGCACAAACCACCATCTCTCAGCATAGTAAAACATTCAGATTTGCTGAGATGTATCAGAGAAACAGCAACACACCTACATTGCCCTGTGACAAATACTTTTGATGTCAGAAAATCCTTTCTCCCTAGCTATTAAAATGTTCCACCTCAAAACAGGTGTAAGCAGGACATGTTTAAAAGAATTATTGTATTTTTTAGAAACAGCATGCCAAAATCAGCTAAAAGAAACTACCAAGTGAGTAACAGGAAAACTGTTACAGTAAAGAATTGCTTCCACATAGAAAATATGGTTATTATCATTATGCTTTCCTTGCTTGTTCTCTGTTCTTAATTTTTTGTTTTGTTTTTGTTTGTTTGTTTGTTTTTTGTTTGGTGGTTTTTTGTTTGTTTGTTTGTTTTGACATAATGAAAGTCTGTATGTATATATAGGTATCTGTACTGGCCCATGCATGTATACATACTTTCACTGCAGGAAACAACACAGGCTATTACTGGTTCCTAAATTGTTTGTGTAAACAGAGAAGTCTCTCTGGTGTAGCGTAATCTAGTGTCCTGTTAATGGCACTGACCAGAGAGCTAAAAATTACGGAAGAATAAAACTTTTACTTTGGGAAATTCATTCAACCAAGTGTGACTTGGTTAAGATAATGCCTTTCCACATCTATTGCTATGCACAAGGGTTCTCTATATCTTTCAGCACACTTATGTTCTCTTTCCACTTTGAAAATAACACTGTGAAGAATGGCATTTGTGTGTTCTGTCTACCTACAGATGAAGCCATTAAAATATTAACTATGAGTTCAGTTCAGTAAATGAAATCTCTCTGAGCACATGTATGTGTGCCTTTGTGTGTGTGTATGTTTGGAGGTATTTGGGAGGTTGTAACCATGCTTTGCAATGTAGTATATGAAGAATATGTATGGGCCAACTGAGAAGTAGCATATTCTGTAGCAAATAAGATGCTGATAATTTAGGATCTAGATGGGACTTTAAACATTTGATGGTTAATTATGTTGCTTTTGAATTACTTACACATCCTCTGTGGTTTTTACCCTTAGATATCACAAAGTTCTGTGGCATTTTTATCACTCTATGTGGGGATTTAAAATATAGAAGAATTCTCATTTGGTCTTTTTTTTAAATTGATCAATAATCATTTTATGTCACTAAAAGTTTGGTAGCTCTCACAGTAAACAATTTGAAATGTGATTTTATCCCATAAAAGAAGAAGTTAAATTCTACACACCCTGCTTGTCTAAGAAAAATGTATATATTTGAATGCTTCTGGAGTCCATTTTGGCTTAAATGTTTGTAGGAGGCTTGAGTGGAATCTTCACACTAAATTCTCTGGGCTGCTCCTAGAGATAATTGATTCAAAATTTTATTTAACTTCAGAAGCAATTTAGTAGTGATTGTTAGTAAAAAGCTGATGTATGTCTTTTAATCCTGCCAGTCAATATCCATATTTTATTTGGATAAGCAAATATAACAGTCTTTACTATGAGCCTCCTCTTATACTGTGTAAAATCATAAAGCCAGTATCTCTCGGATTTCAGGTACTGCATTTTCTAGTCCCACTTAGAGGAACACAGATTGCCTTGGTCTAAATGATGCCCCAGAGACTAGAAAACAGAAAGGAAATTAATACCCTTAGAACTGGTGAA